GATCAGTAAACTATGGCCAAATCCAGCTTGCCCCCTGTGTTTGTATGTCTTGCATACTAAGAATAGTTTTTGCATATTTAAATAGTTGGAAAAAAGCTGAAAGAAGAATACTCTGTGACATATGAAAATAAGAAAGTCCATAAGTAAAAATGTCCCATAAATAAAGTTTCTTGGAATGCAGCTATGCTCCCTCACTTAGGCTTTGTTTATGGCTGCTTTTGGGCTACAAATGGCAGAGTCAAATCATCACAACTTGCTGGGAAAGTCTGAAATATTTATTATCAGGCCCTTTACAGGAAAACTTGCCAACCCCTGGTATATACTGTAATATTATCTTAATTCAAAATGATAAAAGCTTTTGTAAGAAGAGTTTTAGAGCTCTGTTTTATGGAAGCGGCTTCCAGATAGATGTTAGAGGCTTGTTTTATTTTACCCACAGTAAGAAAGAGGAGTAGTTCTGAGCTCCAGAGAATGAACAGAGGGGCTGTGAGTGTCCATTCCCCTTTGTCACTTTCACAAGTCCTCCAAATGATATCAATATGGCTTGCTTTCCAATTTACTGACTTCCTTCAACAAATGCCCAAACCTAACTAGTTGCCATGGAATCAGTTCTGACTCAGGGCAGCCCTTCATGTGTCTAAGTGGACCTGGGCCATATGGGGTTCTCAGTGGCTGATTTTTGGAAGCTGATCACCAGGCCTTTCTTCTGAGGTGGACTGAAACCTCCACCTTTCCAGCAGTGAGTGTGTTAACTGTTTGCACCACCCACGGACTCCTAGTGATCTCATCAACATGCTTGGCTACTCACTGAAAGGTTAGAAGTGCAAGACCACTCAGGCCCCGTCAAAGAAAGGTCTGTTGGTCTACTTCCAAAAACCCAGCCATTGAAAACCCTATGGAACACAGTTTTTTAAGGAGCTCTGGTGGTGCAGTAGTTAAAGCATTCGGCTGCTAACCAAAAGGTCAGTGGTTTGAACCCATCAGCCACTCTGCAGGAGATGAGGCAGTCTGTTTCTATGATTCCTCACACTACTCATTGCGACCCCCTACTGGGTTTCCAAGATGGTAAATTTTTAGGGAAGTAGATTGCCCCATCTTCTTTCCCAGGAGCAGCTGGAGGGTTTGAACTGCCAACCTTCTGGTTAGCAGTCAAATGCCTTAGGCACTGCACCACGAGAGCACTTTCTGTAATGAAGCCCTGTGTGGGGTAGTTCTACTCTATCCTACAGGGTCTCTATGAGTTGGAATTGACTTGATGGCAGTGGGTTTGGTTTGGTTCAGTCTAACTTTTTTCCGGAAACCTCAGCACTGACAAACTCTGGTTCAGTTTTTCACCATCTCCCTTTCATCAGTCTTCAGCATCAAGAACCTGTAGGTGTGTTCTTTCAAGAATACAACTGATCATGCTGATTATACCCAAGTTCTACCACAGACCCCAGTATGGACTTATTATTTTATAACCTTTTTTTTTTTTTTTTGCAGATTGGTAAATTATCTCTTTAGGCCTTACCTTCAAAATACCAAGGGTGGGTGAGAACTTAAGCAATTCCTCTATAACATCGCTATACCCTTTGTTGGCTGCTTTCAGTAATGCTGTTGTACCGTCCTTCACAGAGAGAGGAAGATAAAAGTGGATCATTAACGTGTGTGTCTAGACTGAAAGCCAAAAGTTAGTTGAGAACTGGGAACGCGCTTGTCAGACCAGGCAAGATGGGTAAACTAAAGCACAGAACGACAATTTCTCTCAATCTAGAAGCATTCGTAGAATACTGAGCAGTTACTTCTGCATGAAAGAATGTCAGGCAAATATGCAGCTTATTATCATCTTAGAAGCCTGCCATTTGGGAATTCATATGCCTCCAGTCCCTCAGAACACTGGGTCAGGGACAAGGGGAATTTCAAGAGCATATTTTAGGGCACTGATGGATAAAGAGGGATTCTAAGTCTGCAGTTCATGACTCAGGAGAAATCACTTGTCAAACCATTTTAAATAATTTAAATTAATGCTGAACTATATTTTTCTTTAAATTTTTTAAATATGCCTTTTCTTTTTACCTTCCCTTGCATGCAACCTTGCCCTAGTCTGCCCTAGGTATCTATTTTCCTGTGTGTGTGTGTGTGTGTTGAGGGGAATAGACAAATCTGTTAAAAAGTATACAAAAATAAATTTAAAAATCAATAGTCAACTCTGTCATTAGATTTTGTCCTGAGAAGAAACTTTCCAGACTCTTTTTTCTCCTCCTTTTAACCTATCACTCTCTGTGTCTGGATGGTTTAGCTCACTGTTCTCCTCCAGTCAAGGAAACACCCCAACCCACCATTACGGTTTAGCTGGAATCAGGAAGAAGAAACAGAGTGGAAGTGAGAACAGTGAAGTCAGGAATGGATCTTCTAATTTCCCTTTTTTGGGCTTAGACTTGGAGAAAGGGAAGGTGGGTCAGGTAAGTGAGGGAAATTAATCAGAGGCCAGACACAGTGAAAAACAAAAACCAAATAGCAAGATATGCCTAGGCAGAAGGCTCTCCCCAAGCTGTTCTCTGTTCCTGTGGGGCAAATGGCTTGCTCTGGGGCTTGGGGAGGCAGAATTCGGTGGCAGCACAGAGGCCAGATGATGGAGGGTGTGGCAGGGGCTTCTGGGGTCTGCAGCTGGGGGGAGCTGGGAGCACAATGGGGAACATTTCCAGAGCCCCAAAATTGACCCCTCACTATTTTGCTGCAGACGGTGGCAGCAGAGCCAGCAGGAGGTGCAGCCCTGGGCTGACCAGTAGAAGTCAGGGACACAGAACCCCAGGACTCCCACTCCTCCCACCAGGCCTGAAGCTAAGTCACCATCACCCTCAATTCATTCAGGAGTCATCTTAGGTGCAGGAGGATCTCTGAGGAATCTACATTTTTCTTCCTTAGACTGATCAGCACTTGCTAAAAGTACTAGGTCATACCAAGTTTCAACTGAATTGGACACTTAATTAGTTTCCCTACTAAATACCAAGTGGAAGTTGGGAGAAAACCCAGGTGAGTTACAGACAAAGACAGAGACGCACACCTCTAAGCTGAGCTACATGCTGGGGCTTCCTGACATACATTGCCGACCCTGAGCTCACACGCTGACCTGCTTCCATTTGGAACCTCACCTTCCGGGCTGCATCCCGCTCGGCTCCCCGCAGCAGCATCACCCTCACCACCTCGCTGTGCCCCATCTGGGATGCGATCCACAGTGGCGCCGTCCCATCCTGAGGGAAGAAGCCAAGGTGGCCTACTGTGACATGGAGGCTTGAACCCACCAACTCATACAGAGCTTCTGAATCCCAAATTTCTGAAACTTAAAACCTGGAAAAAGGACTCCCTGACAGCAAATAACCCACTTTCTAGGTAATTCAGATACTGAGTGGTATTGATCAGAAGGTGTTCATTGATCTATAACCACCAGTTACTGCCGAGTCGATGCTGACTCATGGCAACCCCATGGGTAATAGAGTAGAACTGTGCTCCACAGGGTTTTCAGTAGGTGATTTTTCAGAAGTGGATTGCCAGGTCTTTCTTCTGAGGCACTGCTGGGCAGACATCAACCACCAACCTTCCTGTTAGCAGCCAAGCATGTAAGCTGTGCACGCCAACTAGGGACTCCCACTGATCTACACAGACTGGCATTTGTCAGTGCCAGGAAACGTGGGTTACTGCCAATATTCAGCTTCTGGCTTATGAAAAAAGACATTTTATGGTAGACTCTTTTTTAGCACAGAGTGTTTTACATGACTGTGAAGCCCCATTTTTTCCCCCCAGATGCTATAGCTGTTTACTTAGCTCATGGGTCATACTCATGTTAATGTTTGCACAATACTACATCCTGCTTAGCCCTTATGTGGAGTGGGTAGTTTCCTTTGAGGTGGGGTCTGATTGAAGGCTTGTCTCCTATTCTTCTATTGTGGTGTCCAAAATTCTCCACATCCACACCATTGTGTAGGGACTTTAATTTTATGTGGAATGTGATACTGTCTCTTCTGGGAGGTGATGACATTAGCTAGTTATAGTAGGATGACATTTTTGGTAATATTACCTGTGCATTATTCCCCCACAACACTTTTTCTGTTAACACTGGGCCATGAGGCTGAGATACATTGCTCCAGAGAAGAATAAGTGTAACATCTACGGTACAGAGAAGGATTTGAGTGTAGGGTGGTTCCTGCCTGACAGAGTTGAAAATGGAGAGCCCTTCGATGTGTGTGTGTGTGTGGGGGAACTAGAGAGGGCAGCAGAGGCCAGAGATGGGAAGTGAGTGCCCATGCTGTCCTCCCTGTATGGGTTGAATCTAGGAAGGGGACAGTAAGCTTGGGGTGGTATAAACATCCAGATAAAATTATGGGGGACTCCAGATGGGAAAGGATTTCCTCCTCCTCTTGAGCTGAAGTCCAGAAAAACTGCAAGCCCCGTAGAGAAACTCAGTTCTCAGTTGGTGCCTGAAAAATACCATGGGAGTCCTCTGGGCCACTGGACCTGAGTCTGAACTCAAGTCCCCATGGCCCACATTAATTGGCCTCTGGGCTTCGAGGCATCCTGCCTGTCTGTGGGAAATCACAAGTACTGAGTGTAAGCCTGGGGTTGGGAAGAGAAGGCCACAGAGGCTCTTAACCTCAGGCTTTCCGAGATGAAAACAGGGTGGGCACAATCATGGGACCAGGTGCACCTCTGTGGGCACCAGCGGAGGATACCTGGGGACAGGAGAATTAGCATAAAGACCAGACATATCTCCTCACCCCACCCAATGCCAGGGTGAGAGTCTGAGAACTCAGGTCACTTTAAAGAGAAGGGCATGCTAAATGACTAAACCTCTGAGGTAATGAAGGTGATATGGCCCAGAGGATTGTTTTTGCCAGATAAGACTGACATCAGTGGGAATGGGGGCTGGAGGGCAAGATGACTCAGTTATAGAATATCAAGTTTCATTTCTGCTGGAGGGTGTAATTTCAACTCCACGCTACTAACTACAGTGGCAGGAGGGTTATTACCCACTGCTGTTCTGGGACAAAGGTGGACAACATGTGAGCGGGTGGGAAAGGATGGCAATCAGGAGCTTAGGAGGATCCTAGGCACTGAGGGGCAGTTGGAGGACATCAAGGAGAGATACAAGATGCTGAAACAAAGGATGAAGAAGGCTGAAGACAACCTTCACCTACTTCATGTTTCCAAGCACTTCTTCAACCTTGAATTTGAATAGTTACCATAAAAAAAAAACCCATGGCCATTGAGTCTATTCCGATTCATAGCGACTCCCATTGGGTTTCCAAGGCTGTAAATCTTTACGGAAGTAGATTGCCTCATCTTCCTCCCATGGAGCAGCTGGTGGGTTTGAACCACCAGTCTTTTGGTTAGCAGCCCGATGCCTCACCCAATGTGCCACCAGAGCCCCTTCATTATTTATCATTAGCAATGATAAACAGAATCTAAATTTGTACTTTAGTGGTGCAGTGGTTAAAAAATTCAGCTGCTAACCAAAAGGTCGGCAGTTTGAAACCACCAGCTGCTCTGTGGGAGATGAGGCAGTGTGCTTCTGTAAAGATCTATAGCCTTGGAAACCCTTGGCAGTTCTATGAGGGTCTCTATGAGTTAGAATCTACTTGATGACAGTGGATAATTTGTACTTTTAGTTTACGATACTCTTCCACATTATTTATTTAATTTGATTCTCCCAATTCAGGATTCAATCATCTATTCAGACATTTTACCAACCAGAAATTATCTTCCAAGTCTCAGGCAGAGTGCTTAGGCAGAAAAGTAAGACATGGTTTATGTTCTCAAAGGAACTCAGTCTAGTGAAGAAAAGACGTTGATCAGATGCATTTCAGCAGAACATGGTGCTGCAATAAGGATTTGAACAAAATTGAACTAGATGAACCAGGAGAGGGAGCATTTTACTGTGTGGGACTTGGGGGGTCAGCTTCCCTGGCTGGGTGGTATCAGAGCTGGGTCTTGAAGGATAACTGGGATTTTGCCAAGTACATTCCTGGTAGAAGGATAAGACTGACAGAGTCATCTTGGCTTGGACAGGCTCATTCAGGCAGTGTGGGGAATTCAGGTGGTTACAGCACAGTGGATGGAGTGGGACCTGGAACAGGAGAGGGAGTCTGAGCTCCAAGAAGTCCTAAAACAGTATAGGGTTTTCCAGAAACGCCCACTTGTCCTTGCTCACCAGCTCTGGGTTCATTTTGTTGTTTGTTGATCTCTCCACCAGAGGGCAGACAGGGAAAGGCAGCCTGCAGTATACGGACCAGCCAGCTCCCTTCTCCAGGTGCTATTCCACCAGCCACTCCTCGGAAGGAAGATGGGGCAATCTACTTCCCTAGTGATACTGCCTCGGAAACCCAAGGAGGGGTCGCTATATGTCGGGTCCGACTCGACGGCAAATAACAACAACAACATTCAGGGCCTGGTTGTTACTAGTAAGATTACACTAATTGATATTAGTCAGTAGGAAAGTGCTGGAGAAGTGTGATTTTGGGAATAATTATTAATATTACTCATTCATAGCAATAACACTAATACTCAAATATTTATCATCTTAATTGAAACAGTCATGGTAGGTGGAAAAAGCAGTCACTACTTCCTGGCTATGAGACCTTAGGCCACTGAGCCTGAGTGTCCTTTTCTGCAAAATTTTAGCCACCCAGAGATATTATGGGATGAGAAAAAATATATAAAGGTGCTCAAAACAAGGACTGGTTAACATCAGACATCTATAAAATGTTGGAGTTGCATGGTAACACAAATAGTTAGAGTGTTTGGCCGTCTAACTGAAAGGTTGGCGGCTAGAGACGACCCAGAAGTGCCTCCGAAGAAAGGCCTTGTGATCCACTGCCAGAAGACGAGACATGGAAAACCCTACGGAGACTAGTGCTAGTCTGACACGCGGGGGTGGCCAGGAGTCAGAACTGACTCAAGGGAGGTGGTGGGAGAAAATTTTAGCTGAGTCTGAACAGTATTTATCATGAAAACAGTAAATAATACCTTGGTCTATACTTTTAGTAGTTCTGGTAGCATAGTGCCTAAGGCACTTGACTGTTAACCAGAAGGCTGGCAGTTCAAACCCACCAGCCACTCCTCGGAAGGAGGGTTGGGCAATCTACTCCTTGGGTCGCTATGAGTCGGGTCCAACTTGACAGCACATAACCACCACCACAACAATATTTTTAGTTTACAAAGCACTTCCATATACTTTATTCAATTCACCCAATTACCCACTGACATAATTGATTAGTGAGCAGGTAACGGGACAAAATGAAACTGAGGGGTCACTTGTATATTTTATTACTGGTAATTACTTCTTCAAATTTGTTTTTTGAACCCAGGGAACTGGAAGTGACTTAAGGGATGAAGGTCAAATAGCTACTTGTCACAAACTAGATAATTTGTGAAGAGAAGTAGTTTCCTCTTCTTTTTTACACCCTCAGTTTTGACTTTCTCTTATATTTCCCTTCTGTTATGATGGTCAGGGAATCCCTGGGTGGGGCAAATGGTTAAGTGCTCACCTGCTAGCTCAAACGTGGGCAGCTGGAACCCACCTGGCGGAGTCTTGGAAGACAGGCCTAGCGATCTGCTTCAGTAGGCTCACAGCCTTGAAAACCCTACGGAGCAGTTCTACACATGAGGTCATCATGAGTTGGAATCGACTTGACAACAACTAACAACAACAGTAACTAACAATAACATTATGATGGTCAGAGTCTTCATTCTGAAGATGCTTTGTAATGATAACGATGGAAATTAAGTCAACTTAGTTCCCTTTAGTTTTGAAGAGTATCATAATGGGGAAAAAAAGCAGATTGTAAAATATTCAAATTAATTTTAATATATAGTTTAAAAATATTTTCAATCAAATAAACTACCCTGAAGTAGAGGTTACAACCTATAGTACATTGTTAAAGGGAGTAAAAGATTTAGTTGGAAGAAGAAAGTCTTCATGAGGTCATACTAGCTGTTATTTACTATTTGTTTGCACATCACCAGGAAAAGGATTCAGATTTATTTTTCAGATCAAGTGATCAAAAGAGGACTGGTTATTCCATTCGGCAAGGGATCAGTGCAGGAGATCCTGGATAGAGTGGGAGAAAAATGTGGAACAAAATTCAAAATCATAACAAAAGACCAGGCTTACTGGTTGGATAGAGACTGGTGAAACCCTGAGACTACGACCCCTAGTCACCTTTCAGGCCTAGAATTGAACTCACTCCCCTGGCTTCCAGGCAAACGACAGATAGCCCTACAAGGTGAACCTTTACACCAGGTAGGTACAATCCTCAGAACAATCAACCTTCTGGGTGACCAGAAGGGCAACATTTGCACTGGGAGATAGGTCACTGCGCAGGAATGCATAGGAAAGGATACAGACAACAGGTAACCACAAAGAGGAAGTGAGAAGACAGCGAATACATTATGGGGACTGCAATCAATTTTATGAAACAAAATGTGCAAGAACTGCTGTATGGAAGATGAATTTGCTCTGTGAACTTTCATCCCAATCTCTCTCTCTCTCTCTCACACACACACACACACATACACACGAGGACTGGTTATTGATGGAAAAATAGATTAGATATCCACCCCAGCTAGAAAATGAACAGGTTTGACTCATACGAACTCTACTTGGTGAGGGCACATGAGAGAAATGACAAGGAGTTGTTAGGCTATGGATTTCAATGATCCCTGAGACTCCTGACCTTTTACCCAGCATAATTTAAAAGGAAGTATTTTTCAAGTTTTAAATCAAGAACTTAATCTTTCCAGAGTCTGCGAATGGCTTGCTTTGTGTTTATGACTTTCTTATCACAAAAGGGTCTCCTTAGTTTCTAAGTGATAAAGTTACAAAGAAAATTCTTGCTACTGCAGTTCAGATTCCCTGCAGCTCCGATCAAATGCCAGCTGAGTAATTTCAAGGCAACTTTATTAACATCGTATGACAGTGTACCCTAAAATGTTAAGACTCCTTAGAAAGGCAATGCAAAAGTTATAAATCAGATTTACCTAAAAATACTAAAAATTAAACAAGGCAAATATTGGTGTCCTTATTTTGTGAATTCAAGAACTTTCTAACAATGACTCATCTGTCAGCTGAGATTTTAGAGCAAAATATTATTTTCCAAATGCCTAATCTATAAAATATTCTAGCACGCAAGGTCATTTTAACTGAAACTTTGAATTACACTTAAAAAAAAAAAAAAAAACTCTTCCTAATTTGTGACAAAATCACCTAGGACTGGTATCACTTTGGCTACACAAAACTACTTGTCTTCTTGGATTAGAATTAAATTTGTAGAGTTTACACTCTTAAAGAAGACAGGAGAACTTTGCTAATCTGCTATAGCTGGACAAAAGCCTCTAATTATGAGTTCATAGTTGGTGGTAAAAATGAGTATGATTTGAGAGAGTAATGGGGTTGTTGTTGTTGTTGTTGTTATGTGCCGTCAAGTCAGCCCTGACTCATAGCGACCCCTCCTTGGGTTTCCGAGGCAGTATCACTACGGAAGTAGGATTGCCCAACCTTCCTTCCAAGGAGTGGCTGGTGGGTTTGAACTGCCAGCCTTCTGGTTAGCAGTCACGTGCCTTAGCCACTATGCTACCAGAGCTCCCAATGGGGTTAGTATACTTTATAAAAATGAAAAATTCTATCAGTTTTTTTTTCCCAAAAGCAATTTTTACTTTATAAAATGCCCTGTTCCTGAATAACAATCTTTAAAACAATTGTATTATATGCAACCCTTGGAAGGGTATATATCACTTGATCCTTGACCTGAGGGTGACTGTGCATACAGACTGGGTCATCCCCTTTGACCAGGGTATCCTAACTCTTGTAGAATGCAAAACAGCTCTGGTGTGCTGTGGTTACCAGTGAAATGTCAGTTTACTCTTTAACTTCTTGGCTTCAACATCATTTAGGGTTCAGTGGACACAATCCATGCAACATGACAAATATAATCTTTTATATCAACTTGCTTTTCTGAAAACGCATATGAACAATACAAAATATTTTACAACTAGACCTGTCAAAGTGCAAGAAATTTTTATGGAAGGATGTACTGATAGAGAGACTTGATAATCTGAGAGGTCTTTCTCATCTCTCATTCCTACATTCACAAAGGTACCTTCATTAATGGTCTCCAAAATCAAACTTATGCAGTGTAAAAATAACCAATTCTTTTGAATTGGTTTTGGTAAAATGAAACTTCTTATTCAGAATCAATCAACAATTTCAAGGTGAGAAACAACAACAAGAAAATATTAAACTCCAATTTGCAAATGTCAACTCTGGCAGGTATGGGAATGCAACTTCACTCAAACTGCTTTCTCTCCCAGGAATATTCCTGGGGCCACCTGAACTTTAATGAAATTCCTCAAAGTTCTAAAAATGTAATCTTCCATTCATAGCAGTATCTGGCACATGATCAGTGCTCAAAAATACTGATTGAATATTGAATAAAATAATTATCAAGAATTTGGAAGCTAGACCAGATCATCTGAATCATTCTGCCCAGCCTCCTAATTAGCAGATGAAGGAAGAAAGGTCCAGAGAGTTTAATTCAGTTAGTTACCGGCAGAGGATTCCTGATTGCAAAACTACTACGCCCAAAGGCTCTTTAATTTCCTTATGCACTTGGACTTTTAAAGACTGAAGAAGCCTGTAGTCATGAGCTCAGATCAACCTTAAGGTTCCCACAGCTATTCACTGTATGTATGTATAAGCATTCCCATATATGTCATATTACAGTGGAAATCTGCCTGGGTGTCATTTACTGTAAGAAATTAGCTTGACTTTTCCCTAGAAAGCTATTTTTATAATAATTTTACCTTAATCTGAAATGTTTTGTTAAAAACAAATTAATTAGGGTAGACATCATTCCTATATAAAAGAATCTAATTATAGTGCCTCAATGTGCACTTAATTGTGTTCATGAGAAACCTGTTCAGAGACCAGGTGGCTGTCGTTTGAACAGAACAAGGGGATACTACATGGTTTAAAATCAGGAAGGGAGTGCATAAGGCCTGTATCTTTTCACCATACTTATTCAATCTGTATGCTGAGCAAATCATCTGAGAAGCTGGACTATATGAAGAAGAGTGTGACATCAGGATTGGAGGAAGACTCATCAACAACATGCGATATGCAGACGACCAAATTTGCTTGCTGAAAGTGAAGATGGCTTGAAGCATATACTGATGAAGATTAAAGACTGCAGTCAGCAGTATGGATTATACCCCAACAGAAAGAAAACGAAAATCCTCACAACTAGATGAATAAGCAGCATCATAATAAATGGAGAAAAGATTGAAGTTGTCAAAGATTTTGTATTACTTGGTTCCACAACCAACACCTATGGAAGCAGCAGTCAAGAAATCAGACAGCATATCGCACTGGGCAAATCTGCTGCAAAAGACCTCTTTCAAGTGCTGAAGAGCAGAGATGTCTCTTTGAAGACTAAGGTGAGCCTAACCCAAGCCATGGTATCTTCAATTGCCTCATACGCATATGAAAGCTGGAAAATGAGTAAGAAAGATCTAAGAAGAGTTGATGCTTTTGAATTGTGGTGTTGTGAAGAATACTGAAAGTACCACGGACTGCCAGATTCAGAACTAACAGATCTGTCCTGGAGGAAGTGCAGCCAGAATGCGCCTTGGTAGCAAGAATGGCCAGACTTCTTTTCACCTCCTTTGGTTAATGTTGTAAGAAGCGACCATCCCCTGGAGAAGGATATCATGCTTGGTAAAGTGGAGGGTCAATGAAAAAGGCGAAGGCCCTCAATGAGATGGACACAGTGGCTGCAACAATGGGCTCAGGTATAGCAAGGATTGTGAGGCTGGCATAGGACCAGGCAGTGTTTCATTCTGTTGTACACAGGGTTGCTATGAGTCAGAGCTGACTCAACAGCACCTAACAACAACAACAACAACAACAATGTGCTTGGCTACTAACCCAAAGTATGGAGATTCAAGTCCATCCAGAAGCACCTTGAAATACTTCTTAAAAAACCAGTCACTAGGAGCACAGTTCTGTAACACACCAGGGTCATTATCAGTCAGAATCAACTCTAAAGCAACTCATACTTATAACTATAATGCCTTACATTTGGATGGTTCTTTACTTCTATGAAGTGCTGCCTGTATTATCTTATAGTTCTGTTCCTTTAAACACTAATTAATTAATTTGCCAGATGTTATCTTACTGCTGACAAGTGAAATCTCAATAGTATTATCATTGTGTGCAATAAAGGTGCAAAATCTACTAATGATTCTAGTGACATGGGTTCCTCTTTGACCAGGTGGAGAGGTGGTAGGTAAGAGATAAGACAGTGTATCAGCAAAGGTTCTGGGCAGGACCAAGGCTACCTGACCTGCCTCTATTTATCTGTGTCCCAGGCCAGTTTACCTGATTACTTCAATGTAGCCATACTTTATGGAGGAGGTGGTAGAGTGTATACTTGACCTCAGACACCAAACGCTTATGCTTTAAAAATACTGACTTGTGATGTCAGCTTCATTTCATAGGCTTTCAGGTGAGCCCAAAGCAAAGAGTAGGAGAAATCCTAATCAAGTTTAACTTTTCATCACAGAAGAAGGGCTACTGACTGGTTATCTCAGGTGTGTGCAGGTACGTGACGCCCGGCCCTCCCTGCATTGCTGCTCCATGCACTTGGGCAAATGCTGGCAATGGGCATTACCTGCCTTGGCTGGTTAACTTTTGCTCCTGAAGACAATAGTAATCGAATGACATCCAAGTAACCACCTTGGGCAGCCAGGAAAAGTGCAGTGGCTCCATCCTGGGAGATATCAAATTAAAAGAAAAAAAAAAATCACCTTTTATATTTACTTGAAAAGAAATTAGGCTTGAGAAAAAAGATATGTTTAACACAATTTTCCATTTCCAACCCTTTTTAGATTTCCATCCTTTTATGAAGAGCTAAGTGTTAGTTTAAAGACAAAAAAAAAAAAAAAAAAAATCCCCAAATGTCTTGCTTTTATGAAGAGAAAGTAAAAATTGTCTTTTAATTAGATCTTCTCTACCCCTTTTGCTTTCTTGCCTCCTTGTCCACATTCCCTCCCCAATACGTTGCTTTTCTCCAAGCATTAAAATGCAAGAAGCTTTCAGGAAAACGGTCCTACTAAGAATCTCCTTGAAGTTACTTCCCATCAGGCCAGCAGACAGAAAACAACAAGCCCAAAGCAAGTGCCTGTTTCCAATTTTCTTTGGTTTCCTTTTAACTGGGGTGTTTATGTCTTCTGGGCATTCTGTCTTCTTAAAGTGACACTAGCTAATTCCAGCAAATTCATCGGTAGTTGATAGCATGCTTTCTCCCTAGATGTTCCCTCATACAGAGAGTTTCATTATTTTTATGCCACAGTGGAAAACCCAAGCACACCCCAGTGGAAAACACCTAGTTAACCCAGGTAATTACCCCGCCTCTCATCAGGAGTGTTAACCACACGTGAAAGTACAAGAAGGCCTTGCCTACAAGCCCAACCAGGTGTGTCATGTGGAGGGTCCTGGATTTCCAGTGGGTGTCAGTAAGTTGCCAGACTCCCCTCAAGGGAATCATTAAAAAATTAACCAGCCTGTGCAGATTTTAAAACAGATGCTTGATACAGGAATAAAAATTTCAGCTGCTCCAAAATGTGTTTACAGAAGGTCTATCATGCCCTTTGCAGCTGTTAACTCTCAGGAATTTTCTAAAATGGACTATCCATGCATTAGACGTTCTCTGTGCATTGCAAGTTTCAGTTCCTAGAAGTTTTCAGGGATTATTGGCCATTTTTCCCTGTATATTTCAATTGTTCTTAATGAAAACATTTGGATGTTTATGTATAATGGTCTTAACGTACAATGGAAGTTATGGTACATGAAAATTTCTTGAGTCACCTTATAACAGAGAGGAATTCATTACAGAAATGGAATGGACCAAAACTCTCCCTTTCTACAATTATGTGCCAGCTTTATGTAAGAGTAAGGAGCTCGGGTAGCATAGTGCCTAAGGCATTTGACTGCTAAACAGAAGGTTGGCAGTTCAACCCACCAGCCACTCCACGGAACGAAGACTAGGCAATCTACTTCCATAAAGATTTACCACCTCAGAAACCCACTGGGAGTCGCTATGAGTCGGAATCAACTCGAAGGCAGTGAGTTTGCTTTGTTTTGGTTATGTAAGAATATCCAACACATAGAAATTCTACACCCACAGACAGTCAATTTGGGTTAATGACTATTAATGGTGATGCTGTGAAAATCACAATTCATTCGCTTTTTCTAAAGACTTTGGTGCTTCCTGCTCAGCCTATACATACACATACTCAGACATATTTTCAGATATATTTTTAACTATACCTAAAGGATATCCAAAGCTTTGACCTGTGCTTCTTGGATCTGGCCACATGTTGGAACCACCTGCTGCCCAAGTTCAGCCCTTAGAGACTTAGGGTTTGTTGGTTTGAGCAAGCCTAGGAATTGGCACTTTTTAAAATCTTCCTGGGTGATTCTAATTGGCAACCAGATTTGGCAATCACTCTTTTAGACCTTTATCAAGTAATTCAATCATTCACTAGTAATGACTACAACTTCAAACAGGGATAAAGATTTTGAACTACAAAGGTAAGGCTAGTTGCTCAGTACTTTAAAGAGGCTCATAACTTGTCAGAGTTAACCATGTAAACTCTGCAAAGGTGTTCAAATGGAAAAGTTCACACCTACACATTCATTACTCATTTATGAAAGCATAGTGCCCTGGGCATAAGGGCTACTTCTGTAGTTGTAAAGCCAAAAAAACTCACTGCCGTCGAGTCGGTCCCGACCCATAGCGACCCCTCCTTGGGTTTCTGAGGCAGTATCATTCGTGGTTTATTGACTACGCAAAAGCATTTGATTGTGTGGATCATAATAAATTATAAGTAACATTGAGAAGAATGGGAATTCCAGAACACTTGATTGTACTCATGAGGAACCTGTACATTGACCAGAAGGCTGTCGTTCGAACAGAACAAGGGGACACTGCATGGTTTAAAATCAAGAAGGTAGTGTGTCAGGGTTGTATCCTTTCACCATACTTATTCAATCTATAGGCTGAGCAAATAATCCGAAAAGCTGGACTATATGAAGAAAACTGTGGCATCAGGATTGGAGGAAGAATCGTTAACAACCTGCGATACACTGATGACACAACTTTGCTTGCTGAAAGTGAGGATGACTTACTGATGAAGATTGAAGAATACAGTCTGCAGTATGGATTACGTCTCAATATAAAGAAAACAAAATCCTCACAACTGGACCTATAAGCAGCATCATGATAAATGGAGAAAAGATTGAAGTTGTAAAAGACTTCACATTGCTTGGTTCTACAATCGATGCCAATGAAAGCAGCAGTCAGGACATCAGATGATGTATAGCACTGGGCAAATCGGCTGCAAAGGACCTCTTTCAAGTGCTGAAGAGCAAAGATAGCTCCTTCAGGACTAAGGTGTGCCTGACCCAAGCCATGGTATTTTCAATTGCCTCATATGCATGTGAGAGCTGGACAACGAATAAGGAAAACCGACAAAAAGTTTATTGTTTCTAGTTGTGGTGCTGGTGAAGAATGCTGAAAGTACCATGGACTGCTAAAAGATCTAACAAATCTGTCCTGGAGGAAGTGCAGCTGAAATGCTCCTTGGAAGCGAGAATGGCCAGACTTCGTCTCACCTACTTTGGTCATGTTGTAAGAAGGGACCAGTCCCTGGAGAAGGATGTCATGAAAGAGGGGAAGGCCCTCAATGAGATGGATTGACACAGTGGCTGCAGTGATGGGCTCAAGCATAGCAAGGATCACGGAGCTGGTGCAGGACAGGGGAGTGTTTTGTTCTGCTGTGCACAGGGTTGCTGTGAGTCGGAAAGGACTCGATGGTACCTAACAACAATAACAACATCACTGCAGAAGTAGATTGCCCAATCTTCCTTCTGTGGAGTGGCTGGTGGGTTTGAACCACCAGCCTTCTGGTCAGCAGTCAAATGCCTTAGGCACTATGCCACCAGGATAGCCTAAAATGTGTTGCATATGTAATTGGACATAGATGTTCTTCCACTCTTCACCAGGAGATGCTGACAAGTCCCTTCATCTGCCCATATTTTATTTTTTTCTACAAAACAGGAACACCATCTGCCATAAACCCCATGGAATTACAGAGACAATTAAAAGAGCCCTTGGGGTCATGAGCTAATTGCCAATTAGCTGCCAACACACCTGCACTGGCAGTGGATACCTGTTAAAGGTCAGTGGTGTGCAGGGTTTCACAAGTCCTCCTTCACCCAACCTCACTTGTCTTCTAAATACCTTCTTCGTATCCTTCCTTGCAAATGTCTCTACAGCAGGAGAATTTATTTTGGTTTTCGGCAAGTCCATATGGTGGGCTGTATGGTTTGATGTGGTAGGAATAATATATATGTATTTACGAGTGTTGAAGGTTGTAATTATATAACTACACGAACTGTCTCATTTATAGAACAGATTTAAAAAGGCAGAACAGAGATCAGTGAATAAGATGATACGGTTTCTAGAGACAAAAACCTTATCTAGCTCAATTGTATCTTTTTTTCTTGATGTCTCAGATCCAAGTTCAAATGTTCATTAAACTATTTTTGCAGCTGGCATTTCTGGCATCTGAGTTCAGAGCACCGATGTTATTTGTGATGCGGGAAGTAGTGAGTGCCCACCGACGCCCCCTTGAAACACACTCACATAAAGTTGGTCATGGATGTTGGCGCCATGCTTCAGCAGCGTCTCCACCACCTGCATGTGCCCATACTGACTGGCGGCCAGCAGAGCAGTGCCCCCGTCCTATCAACATGGAAAGTATACATACATTAGAAACTGGGGAGGCAAATGTACCAAGTAGATATTCCACACATAGCAAGGACTTTGGAAAAGAATTTTCCCATAGACAATAACAAGCTCATTTTTCTCTTTTATCCCTTTTTCTCTTTTTTTTTTTGTAATTATGACAGAGTTCATCTTAAGAACATCATTATGATATACACTTGGATGACTTGCTAGAGATACAATTATTTGACTAAGTTATTATGATTAATTTAAGATTTTCGCACACCAGATGGAGAAACATCTATTTGCCTCTTAATAAGGAAATCAAAGAACAGAAGGTCTGAACCAGTCAGCTCTATTGTGGGAAGATCAGAACAGCTTCCTATGGCTTCTGATCAGAGACCCTCTTGACAAATGCAGGCTTCTCCCTGAAGTGCTGCCCAGCTGAGTTGACGTGCTTTTATGGGTAAACCTCTGGGTTATGGCTCTCCTGGGCAAGATCTACATCCATTAAAAGCATGGATAAATACAGAACATTCCATGTGCCTCTCACCATCCTACTTAGCATTTGTCTCTGAACATGTGCCAGTTTGCCCAGGCCTCTTTTAAAGTGTGAGCCTAGAACTAAAGTTAAGTTACTAACCACAGCCTGTGAAATAGATGTAGTCTGATGTAGGATGGGGCTTTACTTTGTTCCATCTATTCTACTTTTATGCGGTCTAAGTCAGAATATGCCAACCACATCACACTAGTGAGTCATTGAGTTTGTGGTCAACTGAAACCCTTAACGGTTTTCCCCAGGTGCTCCAGCTAAAGCTTTATCTTCTCCTACATAGGATTGTTGAGTTACTGGTTTGGCTCTGTGGATTCCTATGTGGACACTGGAGCTAATTATAAATAATAGAAGAAGATGAAATATGGTCCTATGATACAAATCACAATTATAAAATAGTGTAATTTCTAAATCTTGCAAAGGTGTTCAAGATGCCTACCCTTGGAGCCCTACCTTCAAAAAGTCTGATTAGGTCGGTCTGAGGTGAAGTCAGAAATATGCCTTTTGACCAGTCACGAGGGGTACCTGTTACATGCAGGTAGCAAGTGAGCCTCGTTTGGAGAAGCTCTTGTGTTCACAGGTGGGTGAAATCCTTGGGGATGACAGTGGCTGGGTGAGGCTTCCTGGAGGGCTGAGCTGTGTGGTGAGGGAGCTGGGCTTTGAAGGGTAGGGAACAGAGAGGACAGAGAGTAGAAGGCTGAGGCTGGTGGGGGTGGGGAGTGGGCATCCAGAATTGCTTAGTAGACTCAATGAGTGCCACCATTTCCAAGTTTTGTTCTTTCATTTCCCAGTTCATTGCCTAATGATCTCATAACATAGATAAATGTGATGATCACCATAGAAGACTTGATACCTTTTATTTTTACAAAAACAGTTTTAGGGGACATAGATTTAATAACAATGAGAACAACCATTAAAACAAAGTGAAGTGAATTTTGATGATGGAATCATATTAAAATTCAAAGCTTCCTGACACACTCTTTTGCCGTAGAAAACTCTGAGACACCTGCAGTTGACCTAATGGAAATACGTGGAATTTCCCATCCTGGTCCCATATTACATGGATTTCTGGGACAGCACAAACTGGCTAATGCACAAAGGCTTCGGGATAGCAGTAACTTGTTAACCAAGAAGATTTAAGCAGCAAGATGATCACACATCTTATATTTGGAAGAGAAGTGAGGTTGGTTATATTGAGTATGTTTGGGGCATGCACAGTCCAACAGCAGGCTTCAGAAAAGACAGAAACCCTTCTGAAATTCAGATCTACTTAATAGTTAACATTTTAATAGGAATAAAAAATAAATAAAACAACCCTGAAAACTCTCTTAATATCTAAATATCACATGCTAAAGGATTAAGAAAACCTGAAAGTTTCCAACTGGGGCAAATTTTCAGGAAATTAAAAATTATGATTAGGTAAGACATAAACCGACAATTACAAAAATCTTAAGGCAGTTCAAATTCTCCTACTACAAATACACTATCATATAAATCATATTGAATACAAATTGATCTTTCTACAGTATCAGATTTTTGACCCATAAGTCAAAAATGAAAAAAACGATTTCCTTAAAAGAACTATACAAATTGTAACTGTATTGCACAGTTCAGTGAGGAGGACTCATGAAAGTAAACTACATGCCAAACTACCTTCCTTAGAAATCTCTCAGATTCAAGAGGATCATTTTAATACTTTTCACAATTCCTATAATAAAAGCACATGGAACAGGGAAAGTTATACAGACACCTTTGAAAGTACCCCTCTGCGTTACAAAATGTAGTGTCCCAGAGTTGAAAGCCGCCAGTGTAGAAAGAATCTAAGTAATTTCCCATGAAATTCTCCAAGTGTGAGACCAGAGTAAAAATTTAATGTTTGGAACTGAATCCTTATGATTAATCCCTGAACAAGTAACCTTGCAAAATCTTATAAAAAGAGAAGGACAAATTCATATATATTATAGATGAAGACTAATACCTATCGTCATTGAAATTCTTCAATAGGATATGAAATCAAGAAGGATCTCTTACTTTGGTCCTAAATTCCGTGGATGCTCCAAATTCAAAGAGAAATCGCACGATGTCATTATGGCCTTGTTGAGCTGCAAAGAACAGGGCAGTTGTACCTGACTGGGGAAATAGCAGCTGATTATAAAAGACATTTGGTTACATTTTATTTGATTTATTCATTTGCAAAGAAAACAAGACATACCAATATTTTTGCATATAAAATTTTCAGCCCACCTACATTTGAGCTGTCTCTATTCCTTGGGTCAGAGAGGTGATAAGATTAAAGGAAAACATTATTCTTGGTGTAGTGGGCTGAAAGGTGACTCCCAAAATCTATGTACATGTTGTAATCCCTAGATTTTGTGAATATTACTGTAAATGGCAAATGATGTGATTAAATTCAGCATTTTGAGATGAGGAACTTATCCTGGATTATTCAGGAAGGCCCTAAATCCAATGACAAGTGTCCTTGTTAGAATGAAGAGAAGGAGATTTGACACATGGAAGAGGAAGAAGAAATGTGAACACTAAGGCAGAGATTGAAGTGATGTGGCCACAAGTCAAGGAACACCAACAGCTACCATAAGATGGAGAAGCCAATGAATGGATTTCCTCCTGAAACCACCAGAGGAAGTATGGTCCTGCTGACTTTGATTTCAGACTTCTGGTCTCCAGGACTATGAGAAAATAAATGCCTGTTGTTTTAAACCATTTGGTTTGTGGTAATTTGTTATAGCAGACGCAGGAAACTAATACACTTACCAAAGTGTTTGAGAAACACTAGCATCCATTAATACTGGGAAGAATTCTAAGTACAAAATTCAAGTGCCTATGAGTAGAAAGTTACCAGTGCAAGAAAGAACCTAAGGAATGTACCCACAAACTTCTCCAGTTGTGAAACTGGAGTGAAACTGTGTATAAAAATGCACTTAAAGTATTTCTTAAACACACACACACACACAGTAAGATTGGTACCCAAGTTATAGTGTAATATGAGCAAAATCACCATATCACTCTAGTGGGCAATTTATATAATTCATATATAGATGCTCTATGACTGCTCTTTGAGCTTGGGAAGAAGTTAACACTACAGTTTCCCAGGCCCAGTAAAGAGAAGATCCTTTTCCCAAATTTGTTAAGGTGGTAGAATCTCACCCAGGTATGAGAAGCTGGATCACTCTAAAGTTCAGTCTTAAGGAGATGTGGATGTGTGTGGGGGAGGGGGGGATGGAGAGTGTTTTGGACTGAATTGTGTCGCCCAAAGTTATCCTGAAGTTCTGACTCCTGGTATCTGTGAACAAGACCTTTTTGGAAATAGGATTTTTGAAGATGTTATCAGTTAACATAGTAAGATCATAAAGGAGTAGGACCTGTCCTAATCTAATCTAATCTTCTGCTAACCAGAAGGCTGGCGGTTCAAACCCACCAGCCACTCCTCGGAAGGAAGGCTGGGCAATCCTACTTCCGTAGTGATACTGCCTCGGAAACCCAAGGAGGGGTCACTATGAGTCAGGTGTGACTCGACGGTACACAACAACAACAACAACAACAATCTAATATGAGTGGTGCACCTACAAAAGAGGAGAATAGTCACAGAGAGACAGACAGAGGGAAGGCAGAGTTATGCTACAGCTGAAGCAAATGAAGACCTGGGGCTATGAGAAGTTGGAAGAGACAAGGAAAGATCTTTCTCTAGAGCTTTTGGAGAGAGGATAGCCCTGGCAGTACCCTGAATTCAGACTGTCGTTAGCTGTCGTGGAGTTGGCGACATAACAAACTTTTCCCGGTTCTGCACCATGCTTATGATCAGTTGCTGATTAGACAGCAGTGTTCCATTGGGCTTTCAATGACTAACTTTCAGAGTAGATTGCCAGGCTTTTCTTCCTAGTCTGTCTTAGAGTGGGAACTCCACTGAAACCTGTTCAGCATCACAGCAACACACCAGCATCCACTGACATGAGGGGTTGTTGTTGTTAGGTGCCATCAAGTCGATTCCAACTCATAACAACCTATGTACAGCACAACAAAACACTACCCAGCATTGTGCCATCCTCACAATCTTTGCTATGCTTGAGCCCATTGTTGCAGCCACTGTGCCAATCCAACTCGTTGAGGGCCTTCCCCTCCACTTTACCAAGCATGATATCCTTCTCCAGGGACTGGTCCCTTCTGATCACGTGACCAAAGTAGGTGGGATGGAGTCTGGCCATTCTCGCTTCCAAGGAGCATTTCAGCTGTACTTCTTCCAGAACAGATTTGTTCATTTTTCTAGCAGTCCATGGTATTTTCAGTATTCTTCTCCAACACCATAATTCAAAGGTATCAACTCTTCTTCAGTCTTTCTTGCTCATTGTCCAGCTTCCACATGCATACAAAGCAAATAAAAATATCATGGTTTGGGTTGGGTGCACCTTAGCTTCAAAGTGACATCTTTGCTCTTCAAGACCTTGAAGAGGTCTTTTTTCAGCAGATTTGCCCAGTGCAATATGATGTCTGATTTCTTGACTGCTGCTACCATGGGTGTTGATTGTGGATCCAAGTAAAACGAAACCTTTGACAATGCATGAGATGTACTGGTTGGGAATTGAATCTGGGGTCTCCTTTATAGAAGGTGAGAATTCTCCCACTGAACCACCAACAGCCCCAGATTCAGACTGCTAGTCCCCAGAACTAGGAGGCAATAAATTTCTGCACTTATGACCTACCCAGTTTGTGGCACTTTGTTACAGAAGCCTTTGGAAAATAATACAGGGAACAATGAAGCAGACCACTGTGACAGAACCTATGGTAACATCTTCCCAGGAAAAACCCTCCATCTCAGACCATTCCTCAACCAGCTTCTGCCCAAGGAAACCACAGGTAACATGACCATTCACAGAGCCTTCTGCCTCCAAAGCAAGAGTGCTTTTCTGCTTGGCTCCCACAGAAAACAGTAGAGAGCATCCATCATTGCTTTCTTACAGTAGAGGACACTGGGTTCTAGAAGCCTTACCTTATAAATAGGTCTGGATAAGGAAAATTGGTTAGATTAGGAAAACTGTCATCTTCTTAATAGTCACTAAATTTTAGAAACTACTAAGGGACCTCTGGTGGCATAGTGTCTAAGGTATTTGACTGCTAATCAGAATGCTTGAGGTTCAAACCCATCAGCCAATCCTTGGGAGGAAGATGGGGCAATCTACTTCTGTAGTGATACTGCCTTGGAAACGCCAAGGAGGGGTCACTATGAGTTGAATCGACTTGATGGCATTGAGTTTTGAGTGAGTACCAAGGGTTATATCTAGGAGTTGTCTGTTTCTTATTATTAATTTTTAAATTTTTATTGTGCTTTGGGTGAAAGTTTACAGAGCAAATTCATTTTCCACACATCAGTTCATACACATTTTTTTTTTATGACATTGACTGCAATTCCCCACAACATAACAGCTCTTTTCCCACTTCCTCCCTATAGTTACCTCTTTCCTGTGTCCTTCGTTTCTATGCATTCCTAACCCCCTGCACCCCCCTGCAAGCTATCTCCCTGTGCAAACACTGCTGTTCGTTCTCCTATGATTGATTGCTCTAAGAAGTGTATCTGCCTGATGTAGATGTTCATCCCATATACCTGTCTTTTGTTTGGCTAGAAGCCACAGGAGTGAGTTCAGTTTCAGACCTGAAGGATAATTAGGGGACATAGTCTTGGAGGTCTCACCAGGGTCTATCAGACCAGTAAACCTGGTCTTTTTTTTTTTATGATTTTGAGTTTTGTTCCAAATTGTTCTCCCACTCTATCCAGGATCTCCTGCACTGATCCTTTTCAAGTGGCTTACATTGGTAGCTGGGCACCATCTAGCTCTTCTGGTCTCATGGTCATATAGGCTGAGGATCACATTGTCTACTAGTCCCTTGGTCTAAGAGTTGCTTCTTTATTAAGAGAATAGATTTATTTTTTTAAATAAGCTTTCTTGGATTCATTAATTAGAAAAAAAATATTCACAGCAGTTTGAGCCAATTTTGTAGCATAGATACTGTCAAACATTGTTGTCAGGTGCTGCTGTCAAGTTGGTTTCAAGTTATAGGACCCTATGCACAAAAGAACAAAACACTAACTGGTCCTACACCATCTTCACAATTTTGCCATGCTTGAGCCCATTGTTACAGCCACTGTGTTAATCCATCTTGTTGACAGTCTTCCTCGTTTTTAATGACACTTTAGTTTTACCAGGCATGATATCTTTCTGTAGGGACTGGTCCTTCCTGATAACATGTCCAAAGTACAAGAGATGAAGTTTAGTCATTGTCATATCCAAGGAGCACTGTGGCTGTACTTCTTCCAAGACAATTTGTTCATTCCTTTGGCAGTCCGTGGTATATTCAATATTCTTCCTCAAAACCATAATTCAAAGGCATCAATTCTTCTTTGATTTCCTTATTCATTGCCCAGCTTTCCCATGCATATGAGGCAACTGATATATATA